ATACAATGGACCCTGGACTAGGTGCGTTCCTCTAAATCTTCCTGCCAGTATAACAAAGTTGCGAAAATAAAGTTTAACAACTTATAAATTGCATTAAATTGGATACGCTTCGATTGAATTGGATTTGGATAGGATAAGATTGGGTTGGATTGAACTGAATTGAATTGCAGTGGATTAGATTGGAATAGATTGGATTAGATAAGATGAGTTGAAATGAGATGAGAGGAGATAAGATGAGCTTTGCTTTAGTCAGATCGTTTGAAGATTTTCCTATTTTTATTGTCCCCATTTTATAAAACTCAATTTATTTCCCAATCAGGCTTATTAATTGAATATATATTTGGGAATTCTTTTATTTCACTTGTTTACATTTAGATAACGCTATTATGGATTTTATTTACACGAATGAGTTTGATGATCTACAAGTGCCAAACCAAATTGGTTTGCTCCGATCTAAAAAGAGGCACATTCCGGGACCGAAGGACCATTTAAATGTAATAGGTAATGAAGTAGTTTTGAGATGAAATTATTATGAGTAGAGTATTCACCCTATTTAGTTTAAGCTGATGAAGGACTGGTGTTTGAATCTTCCCACAATGATATAAGTAAAACTGACGTTGCCATTGAATTTCACATAGCCTTGATTTCCCGAAAGGTATTCTTTTCTTGAATGAAGTGGAGTGCAGTTCCGACCTGGCCTGGGTCTTATCAAAGCCCCAGCGGGACTCGAACCATGACACTGCCGTGTGTGATCTCAAAGCGTTAACCACAATGCCACATTGCCACGAGTTTCCTTGGGTCACAGAGTAGATATGAATTTTGGGTAAGGAGAGGTATTTTTCCATATCAAATTCTATGCTGGGATTGTCGATGAAGTTTCGAGGGTGAATACATCTCATATAACGGATTTACTGGGAGTCTCGAAATCCTACTTATAGACGAAAAATGACGGACTTTGTCAATTCTTGCCATTGTGGGCAATTTCAACTATCGGTCCTTCCTCAACTTTTGCCATCTTGGCTGACCTAAACTCGTATTAAATTGCTCATTTCCAGCTGACACGCCCAATTCTCCTCTGATGCTAGCCCCTCAAGTTGATACCCCATATTTTGCCTGTTGGTCCATTCGAAAAATCGGTTCAGCTGCTGTTGTCTTCTTCGTTGTTTCAGGCTTCGACGGTGGCGTACCGGGACCTTGCCCCATGCCCTCGTTTTATGTCCGCGGCAGCCACGATGAGAAGTACATTGGACGAACACTTGTCGGCATGTAGTCCGGTTGCAAAGCTGCACAGCCGGCAAGCCCTTTTGGAAATTTTTGCATCAAACAAATCTAACAGTTGTGATTGTGATTTTTTTCATACATAACCCAACTCTCCTTATGCTCTACGTCTCAGTGCTTGCTCCGCCCAGTAGGGTTTGTGTGTATGAGTGCATGTATATATGTATTTATATATATGTGTGTGTGTGTGTGTTGAGGTCCAATGAGGCACCGAGAACACTTCCAAAAGACACAATGTCTTCAAATTTCAGTGGAATTTCCACCTCGATAAACACGTTGGCCGGTTGGGGCTTGGGGGCTTATCATTGGACTTTCCATCTCCACTACCCCACCGAGATCCGGAGGAGGCGTACTGGTGGATGGGCGGTCTTCAAGTCTGCCGCCACCTCCTCACCTCATTGTCCGTACGAAAAGTCCGTCTGTACCCTCGAGCCGACAGTCCCCAACTCCTTCGACATTTAGCCGCTTAGCGCCTGTTTTACTCTCTTCTTTTTAAGACCGCCTTCTTGTCGACGAGAGCCTAACTCGGGCTGGGCTCGAAAGGGGTGCTGATGGCATTTTTAGCTCAATTCAACAGGCTCCGGTGCGAAACCCAACTTTTTTTCGAAGAGTCGAAGTAAAAGCTAGTTTTGGTGCATATTTTGAGATAACATTGTTGCGGAGACTTCCATCTTGTATGTCAATGCATGCTGAAGAGACTCATAGTTTGGGGTCACCAGAAGACGACGACCGGCTAGCATCAGAGCTTAGTTTAAGAAGCCGTATTTAGCTTGGGCGGCACAACGTGAAAGAAAGGAGCTATGGTTGAATTTCTAAACAACCACATCATAAGGCCCCAGAACGCAATCTACATTGACTCAGGAAAAATGAGTAGTATCATCGACTTGGAGGGAAAACACACTTTTACTTTAGCCTACTCGTCGCATCGTAAGTAGTGCTCCCATCATTCGGTATTTTTTTCATTTTATACGACCCGAAGTGAGAGAGATCCAGACGAGTGAGAAGCTGTCTATTCACAGCATAATGGAAATTTTTTTAATGCAACTCCTTGCTCACCTACGAAGGCACGGGGATGAATGGGGGCACTACTCACAACAAAATAAGTAGCTGCTCAGTCGGGACGTGAGAAGCAAGTTGGTGTGGTCACTATTTTGGACGCACTCTTCTTTCGTTGTTTTGACGTGATTCGACTTCCTTATTTGCAATTTACTCCCGCTGTCAGGGCAACCTCTGTAGACGCATTTTGTCCCAAGTCGTCTGGCCGAGTCGTCATGATAATTTCCAGAGCCGGACCGTGAATTTGGTACATCTTCAAACACTTTGTCAGCATCGTCATTGAGTTTTGCCAGTCTTAGCCCCCTATTACAATTTGTGTCAAATTGACAAATACAACATATTCCTTGATGGTCTTTCTGCCCAACGATCTTCAAAGTGTATCAAATCCACGGTCCGTGGCTGAAAGCCATCATGACTACTCAGGCAGACGACTTCAAAAAGGTTGCCTCTTTTCAGGTCGCCTTGACAACAGGACCAAATTGTGAAAACGAGGTCAAACCACTTCTGCTGTTTTGACGTCAGGCTACGAAAGTGATACAAATTGTATCAAACGCAGAGGCGGCCCCAGGAACGATCTCGAAAGCCGGAAGCCTGCTTGCGAACACGAGAACTTGGTGGCCAAGACACGGTTGCTAAGGCTCGACCGGACTGACGACGAGACCTCCTGACCTAGCGACTTGTCTCCAAAGCACCGCAAGCTTCATCTGCCCACGAAGGCCTCAGAGAGACTGTCGAGGATGACATACGAGCCAGTCCTGGCCGATGGTTTTTCGGGAGTCCACGCATGCACCCAAATGGCACATGGGCACGTTGTCTGTCTTGCGCCTAAACAGAGAAAAAGACTCACAAGCGTTAATGTAAATAAATATTTTACTTTTATTACGCTTGCACATTTTGGGTATGAGGGAGAATGGAGCAACAACCTGTTTTAAGGGACAATGTCGAGTCGTTCAGTTCCGAATTGCTTGATGGACGGATCAGGTCATTAGTCTGACTAAAATATCCATTAAATATTGCACTAAAATAAGAAAGAAAACATTCTAAAATTTGCAATGGTCAGGAAATAAGGATTAAAGAAGATGTTTGGATGCTGGCGAAAATGGATACAACAAAAGCCCTATAGACATATATCTAGATAGATGGATAGACATAGGGGTCAAGGTATGCCATTTTTAAATCGCGGATGATAACATTATAAAAATAAACTCGTATGACATATTTTGGTAAACCCGTTTATGGAGAGAAATGTAATCCCTTTTCCAGATCCAGCGACTACAAGTTTGTGCACTCAAGTGGCTGCCTCAGTGTTGATGGGCTAGGTTATGTCAAGTAATGCTATGTAATTTTATTCTATGTTATGCTATGCTATTTAATACAATGTTGTGGCAAGCTATGTTATGTTATT